TATTTTTCAAAAAAAAAAAATTTTTCTCTTGAAAAAATCTAGAGCAAATAAGATTTGAAAAGATAAGATAGAAGATGAGGATTTCTTTATTATTTTGTCAAGTTCAACTGAATAGTGCCAGACTAGTCACTATGACAGCTTTTGGAGCCTCTTTGTGCCTAACATTGATGACCTAGTACTACTAGGGTCCTACAAATTTTGTTCAAACATATTTATATATCACTAGGCAATTATGAAACAATTAAAATCTTCTGGTTGCAATTATGAAACAATTTTAATTATTTTAATAGATATTTACAATTTTCCCCCTTTTAATTGATTAAAAATGTGGTCAAACTTAATTTTTGGGTCAACTGACGGAAAAACGGATGGTTTAGGATTTTTGCTACAATTATCCCTAAAGATTATTCATCCTATATATGGTGTTGGTATAAATAATATGTTAAAGTGGTGGTAACTCTTTAAGTAATCATCGCATAAAATAGAAGGGTTGTGCTACGGGTACATAAAGGTGTCCAATATAGAATATGAAAATGTACCGTAAAATAGGCAATGGTTTTGTTAAGGGATTCATAGGTACCGCAGTGAAACTAAGTCTTCATAAGATAATTGTCACTACTTGTGAACACGAAACTTGATTATTTTATGTCAGTTGAGCTTTTAAGTTGTTCAAACACTGCTTAATATGTTAATATCAAGCAGTCTAATTATAAATAATAATCAGTGGCTTAAACAGTCTAATTATAAATAATAATATATTCAAATATTATTCAGCTTACATTTTTTAATGAATGGATCATTCTTGAGGTGTTACGCCATGGTCTTGAATTTATTTTCATTTTTGCCTATTTATAAAAAATTAATTATAAACAAATAATTTTCTCACCTTTTACAACAGTTTCTAGAAATAATTCCAAAATTTCAAGCACGAAATAATTTAATTTCATAAAAAACAAAATATTTTGCTTTGGTTTTTGTACGAATGGAGATACTTCACCTGAGAGGTGGTTTTATTTGAGAAAAAAATAAAATTATACTATTTTTATTATTATATAAATAGAAAAAACACAATGGAAATATGCAACATATAGATACCTTGTCTTTGTAGTTCAAATCCTTGCACATTTATATAAATTTACAAGCATTTAACCGTTCTTTGCAAAATGGGCAACAATTAACAAATTAATAGAGATTGATGCAATTTTAGCTTGTGTTCTTGACTTATGGCTAGGAT